CAACCATTTGCAATTGCCTTTTTTTTAATGATAAATAAAGTATTTGGGATTGAATTTTTGAATTGAATTGACTTTCACTCCTCTAGAAAATTGAAGTGTCCCATGAAAAGTTTTTAATAAAATTTCTTCGGTCAAAACACAAGTGTATTAAGGAAAATCTGAAAAAGTCATTATTTGTTATACATGGCCCAATTTTGTAAGACTGGTAAGCAGGTGTTTTTTCCTTGTTTGGTTTTGATTCTAAATTGCTGTAATCTATAACATTGGAGTGGGACACTCATACTAACTTGTCAGCAATTCTTTTTCCAACAAATGGGCAACACAAATAACCAAGTTTGTAAACTAAACTTTTGCTTATTGTTAAAAACAACCTAAAATTCTAAAGTGAACAAACTTATTTGCTTACCAGTTTACAGCTTTCTAAAATGTTGCCAGTTTTTGTGAGCATTATAAATAGTTGCTTCATCAACTCACCTCTTGGTGACTTTGTTAGCCAGTTGAAGTTGATGAGTCTCTTGGAGGCTGTTCAGCCGCTCCAGCATCTCCCACTGGACAACTCCATGGCCAGGCCACTTCAGTGATTTGAATTTGTGCAGCAGGTTTCTGATCAGCTTGATCATGTGTGGCGGGTCAAGGAACACGTAGACCGATGTGCCTCGGCGTGTGGGATGTTCAAAGTAAGGCCGGAGTTGATCCTTGTTGAAACCTGCACCTAGAAGCTTCATTGACTTGATGTTGTGCTCAGTCCCATCGCAAGTCACCGACAGCACACGCAGGTTGAACGCTTGGCACTGGATGATTGTGTCTCGCACTATGCCTGCTTGTAGAGCGGCTGTGATGCCATTAACCAGGTAATAGGCCACTGGTATTTTCCAATGACCCCTTAGTCCTACGAGCATGACAACCAGAGCCTCTTTAGCGACTTCTTCACTGTCTTCCTCTGCCAAGATGCCCAAATCAACGTATCCAAATGCTCTCTTCAGACCTTGATCATATTCTATGTGTTGCTTCAGATGCATGCTATCTATTACCAGAGCAGCAACCTGTTAAAACAACAGAAGATATCATTCAATGATCGTGGGCATTACTGATTGAATGCTTATCCTCAGTTTTAATTTAACAATGTACAGGGTTGAAAAAAATTATAGTTTGTTTATTCTTTCATTAGATAATTTTCTTCAAAGTATGAAACTCTTCTTGTAAGATGGCTTCATTGACATTTCATTGGTGTCCAGCAACACCCCTGCAACTGATTTCACGAAGCACTACGACACATCACAACTCGAGTTACAACGTGTCTAGTGGTCATCGCAAAATAAGAAGCGCCCTTTGTTAGCCAGTTTTATGCCATAAAATTATGTAAACGAGATTATAATACCGATACAATGTGCGTAAAGTTGTAAATGGAAAATTCATTGAAATAATTATGAATTAGCCCCGAAAATAGTAGTTCAAATTTCGAAGTACACTGTAGCTATACAGTCCACCGCCAACTTTGTTTTTTCTTTAAAACTGCATCATACCCCTGCCCTTTTTTGTTTTAAACACTTTTTGAGATGAAATCCGACGACTCTTTGATGAATATTGGATGATTATTTACTGTAACGCTGAATAACAGTTGCCGAGTCATGCTATGAATCACTTGGGTGGTACTCAAACCCATGGCCTCATGCTTTCTAGTGCAGACGTCCTACCACTTGACCACAGAGCTTGCGGGATCTGTTGACTGGTTTGAATCTGATGTACATGTACATATAGCAGCTGGTACAGTAATTACAAGAGGAACCAGCCAACTGATCAAGCAAGCTCTGAGGTGGAGTGGTAAGACGTCTGCACTACATGTAGAAAGCAGGAGGCCGTAGGTTTGAGTCCTACAGGAGTGATTGTTCCCAACTTTCACTTGTGTGGTAACACACCGAGTATACAGTGTTTATACATGTATGTCGGTGAAGGGCAAAACCTATAATGATTCACATTTATTGAATACCTTGCAAAAACTTCTTAAAAAAATGAGCCCTCACCTGGTAGGTCTCATCTCCAGATGTACACTTCTCCTTCAGATAGTTGAGAGCATGTTGTGAAAAGCCTGGGAGAGCATGGATGTTTGTGACCCAAGATCGCAGTGTACTCACAGATGGCAGCTGGAAGAGCCTCCGTACATATGTGTAGGCTCTTGGAGAGTAGAAGTACAGTGTTGTTGCAAACTGACGTACCTCCTTCCCGTATTCTGTCACATGCTTGCCTTTGCTCATCAGAGATTTCACCAGAGTCAGCTTTGAACCTAAGTGTGGACCGTGCAAAGAGAACCATCGTTTGTAAAATAAGTTTTGCCTTTAACTTGTTATCCCTCTACATGCATATCCCTTCATCAATTTCTTCAACACAAATTAAAAGAAAAGTGCTTTTCAGACTGCATTAAGGAGTAGCCTGATTGAATTAAGATTTATAAACATAGAGCCAATTTTACAGAAAAGAAATGCACAAAGCCCATGCACCTGACAATTCGAACAGTTTTTAAATTAAATATTTCAGGACTTTCATGAAATTATTAATTATGCAAATTTCACAATTGTGCACGGTATAAAAGTTCTTTTTGTAGTTATTTTCTCAAAGCTTGTTTAATGGATATCTGGTATTCCATTATCAAAACTATTAACTTCATACGTGTACATTTTGTACTAGAACTGTTTTTTTTCTGATATGTGACATAGGTACATTGAAGTGTTTCCATGCATCAAAAAATATTGTTATAATTTTACCTTCAAAGTGCTCTTCCAATGCCAAGGCGTCTTCTTCGCTTAGCAGCTCCTTGCGCTTTATGTCTGTCAGAAGCCCTCGGAGTGCTGAGTTTGCGAGTGATTTTCGACAATTTTTGACTCGGAGTGCATTGATCTTGGCTTGCAGAGATTCGCACTTATCTCTCCAGTTGTTCACACACTTCTTCACTTGATAGAGCTCTGATGGCAATGTGTAGAATCCGTGATCACTCTTGACATCTGTCACTATCTTTCTACGCATATCCAGGTCCTCGTCAGGTTCCAGAAGGGAATTTGCTGTCTCACGAGCTTCAGCAAGATTCAATACTCGACGCTCCTTAAGGGGCTTCGGCTGAAGGTGTTTGGGAAATTCGAACAATGTGGGCAGAGCATTTCTCTTTAGGATTTTGTTATTACAGCCTGTTTTGAAAGACTCTGGATTGAAATGCCTCGAGCAGAGGCTATCTTGCCTTGCTGGATCGTAGCCATCCCAACGCATAGCATGCACCCACTGGTGTCGTCTGGTGAGGTCCTTCGGAATATAGTGGAATGTAATTCCATTTGCCTTTGATTCTTGTGAATATCGCTGTTTACAACCCCATGCTACACAGGTTCGAGGCATTGTTTGTGCATCACTTTAGATTCTGCAAAACAATACAAAAGAAAACAAAGGTTTATTAAAAAATGATCTTATGTTATTACAAAAATATTTCGTTATCAAGTTACATGGTGCATGTAATATCTTTATAATTATAGGCACTTCCAAATTAGAGCTAAGTTGAGGATGAACACGGAATAGGAAAATAGAATGTCACTGAAAGTTGTCCAAACTTCAGACTTGACTGCAAGTAGCAAAGGAATGAATGACTTTTAATGGTGTTGAACACAAATTTAGAACTTGTGCAAATTCAAAATTTGTATGCGCGATCAGAAAGAACGATGTAACCTGACGCTGCAGTTGTGCACAAAATCTATCGAGAGTCAAGAAGTTTTTTAGTATTTACTAACAAAATTGGAAATGTTTCTCAGTCCCAGGATCATGTCTTATTACCATTTTTGCAATGAATGGCCTTCTTTGAGATTATGTATGAAGAAAAAAGTGGAGTCAGATTGCAACATTTTTTCCCAAGCGATCTTTATATCTGTGTACATGCACATTTCAATGGCATTATTATTAACAAGATAATGAACTCATGAATATTTATAAAGGACAAAGGCCAGGTTTGTTTGATTTAAATGATTTGATTCAAATCTTTTAAGCCGCTTAAAAAATTACTTTAAACAATTCAAAAGTCATGTAAATGTAAATCATCTTGTGACACACTCCTATTACAGTATTATATAGCTTTACAGTATTCCAACAAAATTTGAATACACTAATGCTGTATTCTTTGGATCATTCTATGCTCTTCTGGCAGTTGATATGTTCTGGTTGGCCACATTGTGACATTGTTATTAAGTTCTTAATGACTGTTATGCAAATTGTTGACAATCCTGACAAAGGACAAGGGTCCACTCTTGCAAATTTGTGCAAGTTTTAAATTAATCTGCTCAACATTGCCATGACTCCGTGAGGAAAAGAATGTTGCAACCTGACGCTGCTTTTTTCTTCTTCATATTATTATCTCATTCTCAATGAATGTCAGTAATTACGAAAATGATGATAAAGATATGAATTAATTATGAATCTGGGACTGAGAAACACAAATTTGTTAGGAAATATTTAGAAAATTGTCTTGACTCTCCATAGACTTTGTACACAACCGCTGAAGTAGCGTCAGGTTGCAACATTCTTTCCTGACATGCCTGAGTGAGTGAGTGACAGGGACAGATGATAACAAATGCTACAATTGAATCGTGCGTGCACAACCATGTCAACCAGAAAAGTGGCGTCTGGATCAATTTTTATTTGCAAAATATCCAATGAAATTTCCTAAAATACTTGTTTTTTTCCCCTTGCTCAATGCCCGGATATATCATACATAATATGTACACATTGTCAGATTGGTTCTACTGTCATAAAAGGCAATAATACTATAACTTACTCTTCACTGTGACGTTCTGCTTGGAGGACCTCACCAGACAGCTGTGTACTGTGTGCGCTTGTGTGTGACGCGCGTGACGAACAAATTTGCCCATGGTTTTTAAAAATGGCGGCTTCACTGAAATTACGGTCTTGCGCCCCCTGTTGTCCGTCTATAGGTTCTTTATGTCTGTGACGTCGACGTGCATGTACTATATGTAGAAGGCGGCAGAGCGCGGTGGGTAGGCGTGTTTGACACAGACGACGTGAGATAATCAAACATCGACCCGGCCTGAAACTAGGGCTAAAGTCTTTTTGACGGTTTGATCCTTCTGATGGAGAGTGACTGAAGGAAGTCTCTAAGTACTCGAAGTAATACAGGTAATGTATCCTGCGGAAATTATACAGATTTTTCGGAAATGGGAAACATTAACTTGGTGTTATTATGGCTGATTTATGATTTGGACACGCCATCTGTCGACTAGCCTTTAGTCAAGTCCCACGCGCCTATACCCGGACACGTAACGCACCCATGATGCTGGCACGTAAAAAGACTAGCACGAGCGACGAAGCCGCGAGGGCCTTTACTGCCTCGTGGAACTAATCACTTATTCATTTATTCACGTATTCACGTAATATAAATCAAGCAATATAAACCAATCATCTAACGGAGTGTCATGGCCTAGCGGTTAAGAACACCGGACTCATGTTCTGGTGTTTCAGAGGCAACAGTGACGTGGGTTCGAGCCCGGGCGCGGACACTTGTGCTCTTAAGCAAGGCACTTAACCATTATTGCTTCGTCCTTCGGATGGGACGTAAAGCCGTAGGTCCCGTGTGTTGTATAATGTCTAATGCACGTTAAACATGTTAAAGAACCCAGTACACTTATCGCTAAGAGAAGGGGTTCGCCCCGGTGTTTCTGGCAGTGCGATTATCTTCAGCCATGAAGTCTGCACAAAATAAGGAAGAAGAAGAAGAAGAAGAAGAACGGTGGTTTGCGGTTACCAGCAACAGCACCCGCGCCATGACGCACGTGCTGTCTGGCGCCAGACGACGGCTGATTTACGTTAGTAATTCTGCATTTTCATTGGTCAATTCACAACGGGTAATGGCATGCATTATGCATGTCTACCAAATCGGTAGCCCCATAAATGTGGCCTATTTACTGGACTGCCTCCGTAAACATAGGCCACACATCCACATGTACAAAAATCGTGTCGACGGAGCCAAATTTTGATTTTCACATTTAGGCTTAGTTTGTAGGGTTTTTTTGCTTTAGAAGCATACTCACCCTCTTTACAGGCTAATCAGAAAGTGCTGCCTTTTTCAGATGTATATTTTTCGTGAAATTTCCAGATTCATTTTTACACGTTTGCGTATCAAAATTTCAACATGAAATTTCACAAAAATTAGACATCTGAAAAAGGCAGCACTTTCTGATTAGCCTGTAAAGAGGGTGAGTATGCTTCTAAAGCAAAAAAAACCTACAAACTAAGCCTAAATGTGAAAATCAAAATTTGGCTCCGTCGACACGATTTTTGTACATGTGGATGTGTGGCCTATGTTTACGGAGGCAGTCCAGTAAATAGGCCATATTTATGGGGCTACCAAATCGGTAGACAAATGTAAAGAAAAACATAAGCGTTCTCCACGAGATGGTGAAGGCCCTCGCGGCTTCGCCGCTCGTGCTTGTCTTTTTACGTGTCGGCATCCGGGGTGCATCACGTGTCCGGGTAAGCGTCACATGTCTGCGCATGCCATTGCATGTTGAAGCCCTCAACCGATGCGTGACATGTACAAATTCACTAAGTTGGCCACACATTCGCCTACAAATCCAGGCGCGGATCCAGAGGGGGGTTTTGGGGGTCAAACCCCCCCCCCCCCCCAAACCCCCAACCCCCAGCTCTGTTAAAAAAATTTTTTTTAAGTTTGTAAATTTGTATGATGGCTAAAACTACATGTAACTAATTACTGGTACATGTACATGTATGTCACATGTTAGTTTTCATTCATTAAAGACAGTTTACCCTATTAGGCAAGAGTGCGTCACTTGGCCGGTTTTAAATAAGGGAATAAATGTGTGCTCCGGAGGTTTTTATCACTCGTTTAATACCGCTTAGAGTCTGGGTGCTGATAATTACCCGAGCCGGAGGCGAGGGTAATTATCAGCACCCAGACTCTAAGCGGTATTAAACGAGTGATAAATACCGACCGAGCACATATTTATTCCCATTCATAAATACCTTATCCGTAAAAAATTTTCAAATAATTCGTTCAAAAAATCCCGATTTTGTTCAACAAGTTCACTTCATGCTTTTTGAAACATCCCTCTAGCAAAATAATGGAGTGTTCAGCTGGCGAGTAAGATGTAAACAACCCTTTTATGGAGATTGACGCGCGCGTAACATGTTCTGCGCGATGTCACGCAGAACGCACCTGGGGCGTTGCGTTTTGAATTTAGAACTATAAAATTCTGACTCGCATGTAGTGTTGCGCATGCCTACGTGAGGATTGTGAACGTTCAACCAATGAAACGGTAAGAGGCACTGGATTTTTAGGAGTCCACATTTTATTGTGACACTGGAAAAGTGTTTAAGACCAGCTAGCCATGTCTTTATCATCCGTTTAATACCGGCCACGTGACGGGCTCTCGACCAATAGGAATAGCTAAACTGTCTGAGGTATTTATGAATGGTTGATAAAGACCGTCTGGCTGGTCTTAAACACTTTTCCAGTGTCACATGAAATTTTATACCATTTTGTCGGTTGAACGTTCACAATCTTTGGTTAGGCATGCGCAGTACTACCAATGAGTCCGCGCGCCAATCTCCATTTAAGGAGTTGTTTACAACTACTCGCAAGAGGCACTTTACGGTACCATAACATAGCTAGAGGGGTGTTTAAAAATACATGGAGTATACTTGTTGAACAAAATCGTTGGAATTTTATATAATATTTGACTTGTTTTGACTGCATGACCGGGAAGGTATTTGTGAATGGGAATTTATAAACATACATATGCTATCAGTCTGTATGCTGATCAGTGTCCAGACTCCAAACCGGTCTTAAACATAGTGTTTTAAACTGGCCAAGCACACATTTATTCCCTTATTATTAGCAATTCCACAGAATTTACCTCAATGCCAAAACTTTAAAATCCAAATGTCAAAAAGAAACTTGTATCATTTTGAAGCTTATTAGCTGTTATTATTTTACTGAAATATAAATACTGTATGTCTAACAAATTAACAGTGTTCATTAGTTCAGCTGTTGCCGAAAAATTAATAACTTAGTACACCAAAAAAACCAAAATTGTCTGAGTACATTTCTCCGACATCATCATGTTCAAGTCGATTTCTACTAGTACAGCAAAACAGTTGGATTAATAAATTTGTTTTTAGATAATTGTATAGTAACCGACGGATAGGTTTTATCAGAATTATTATGCACACTCTCAAATTTATTCCAAAATGTTTGTCCGACACCTTGGAATTGCCCTTATAGTGACACATCGTATTTTCCCCAACCCCAATTTGATTGCTTTTTCTTTTTGTTGTTAAGACAATTTTGTAGGTCTCAAATGTGTAAACATTTCAGTTATTTTAAATTGATTTGATTATTAAATGTTACCATGCTGAAGGTATTTTTTTTGCAAATTCTCTGTTTTAATGTGAACGAATTAATCAAAGCAAATCAAAAAATTAAAAAAAAAAAAAATGAAAAATTCAAAATGGTAAGTCAATTTTGAATTAACATCAGCCTGACGCAAATTTCATTGTACAAAAGTCTCTCGGTAAACCTCTCCAATCATCAAACGGACAGACGTATCGTTTTTTTTTTTAAATTACATTTCCTTATGTACTGTGCAGTCAGAAGATTCACAGTCCAGCTGTACTTTCTACATGTAATAACATCCGTAAGTTTTGGCCCTTTGCCCAAAATACCCCAACTTATTAGATACAAGTTCCTTCTTTGATATATTACATGAGCTGCTCATAGTGTCTAGTTCAAAAACACCGAGTAAAAAATAATTTAAACAGTTTCTCATCCGGGGGTTATCAAAGAAAAACGAAGGAAGCGTGCGCTTTTGTTTTTTTCTTCCCCAAGATGACAGATTTCCAACACGGCTTCTATGGAGTACCGAAGTGTGAAGTCATTAAGAACCAGAAAGTGTAGTGCAAACGAATGGAGTACGCGTGCGTGTTGGTTCTCGGGCTGAATCACATGCTAATGTCTTTCACACACATTTTGTGCGCGTGACGTATTCACTTCGGGAACTCCATTTTTCCCGACTCTTTTGCCGATACAATGTTGTTTCCATGGGAACTGTAACCCACTCTTCATGGCTACAATTACCTTGGAATCAAATAAAAGGCAATACATACTGGTACATATCTTGACAACATATTATGTGCCAACTATATTACAAATGTATGAAGTTTATAAAAAAAAGGGGGGGGGGCCGGAAAAAAGTAAGCAGGCGGGGACGAAAAACTGTTTAAAAATTTTTTTACTTGGCCTTAGTCCAGGGAATGACCCTGGAATTTAAAAAGTACAGCTCAAAACACAAATTGTTTTGATAAATCGGGGACCAAAAAGGAAGGAATTATTTCACATTTCAATTCTTCACAACTAAAGCCAAGTTTGTACATGTATGGACCACCTGTAGACAATGTTGAACGGCTCTATATCCCATGACTCACTGAAATTTGAATGAATTCATGGCAGATTAAAATGTGAATGCATTGCATGTGTACGTAAGTTCAGAAGAGTTATAATGAACACACTGTTGGACTGATATGACTTGCGAATATTGAATGGAATGTTTGACAAAGCTGTTTGTATTCGCTATTCAAACTCAACTTAGAGAATCGGTGAATTTTGTTTCCTGATTGAAAGTGTATATGCCTGTACATGGAGAAAATTACCTTAGGTGATGGATCATGTCATAACTTAAGGGTCCAAAGTGCGACATTTTTCTTCCTGCCCCTGTTACCTTGGTACTTTTGTTATTTGCCATTCTAGATTATCATTAAGAATTCAAAATTGTGCTTTTTGTTGAGTAGGTAGTTTGCTATTCATAATCACTCATGGAGGATGAATGTAGGAGTGCATCAGAATTATAAAATTCTATGTCAGATGTAACACGGACAGAAAAAAAGTGGACCCCAATTTTATAGAATGACCCCTGTCAATTGAATTATGATTGTGACTTTCTTGTTGTGTGATCTGCAATGTAAGTCTTATCCCAAGGAATCGTTTAAAATATTCCTGAATGTGTGTGCCTACATTAAACATTACATTTTTCTTCCTCCGTGCATACATACATTGTACATGGAGAAAAGCACAGCAGGCACACTAATTGTTAACCTGTACAATGCGCATCATCGTGGCATGCCAACTACCGGTATCTCTGGGACAGCCCCAACAATAGTTCCAGAAATTCCTAACTGTACTTTGGACGATCCTAATTGTAGGTGACATTGTCCTAACTGTACTTGGGACAATGCCATAGTTGGGGCTCACAGTTCCAAGTCTGAGACACACAGTTTAAAGTGACCTGTGTCGGGCCAGCTGTCAAGGTTAAACCTAAGGTACTCTTAACCTGAGAAGGAATCAGTGTTGCCATAGTGTTGTCTCTGGGTCTCAGAATCTATCTGCAGTATAGTTACACCTATGTGTCCACACAGCTGGTTATGTATTTTGACCTTGTGAGCTGGGAGGCCTTACTATTGGGTCAGGATAGTTAAAGGGGGAGTGTCAAAACTAATGTCCAACCTATTTCCAGTTATTAAAAGAGGAGATGTCAAAAATACCTGGACTATTTTACATTGTATGGCATTGCGCCTTTAAATAACAGTTACCAGGTAATCGTGTTAAAGGGGTAATGCCATACAGTGTTGAAAGGCTGGATCTGCAAAAAGGGGCAGTGCAGTGTAGAGCCAGATTATGTAGGCATAATGCTGTATGGCTCTACAGATGCATAGTTTAAAGGGAATATACAACATTTGCAAACATCGACAAATAAAACTACCAAGTTTTTACGAAATACCTTACTAGGATGTTGGTAAATGACAGTCTCGAGCATCTTGTAAAATTATGGCACCTGGTGTGAAGTCATTTTCAAGAAAATTGTATTTTTGTATACATTTCCAACGGTGGTCGGCCGACCAGCGTTGGAAAAACCTAACTATTTTTCAACTACTGCTCCAAATTTACCATTTTTCAGTCCAAATTTTGTTTGCTATTGATTACGTGTTCATGAACGGGTGCAGGCCAGCTAGACTTGTTCCCTTGCCTTACAATTTTCCATCATCTATACATTGATCCATTTTATCTTTTGTGGAGTCAGGGAACCAGACTACTTGAACATTTTTGTTTTTCTTGGTTTTATCAACCTTTTCGAAAACAAAACTTCAAAAATGTCAGTGTAACAATATTTGATCTACAGTATTATACTAACCCCTCAAATAGTTCATTTCTGAAAATTACAGCAAAAGCAAATGATGTACATTCCCTTTAAGGGGCAGTGACATTTACATGTAAAGGGGCATTGTCATGAACCTTGTTCCAGTTGAAGGGGTGATTTCTTGTAACTGGATCTCCAGGTGATGTGCCATCTAATCCCCTTTAACCCTAACCCACCTCACTCCTCCAAAATCCTCCTGGCGGTTTTGGAGGATTCTAGAGGATTGAGGATGAATGGTGATTGAATCAAATGAGGATTCTGGAGGATTGAGGATGAATGGTGATTGAAGCAGATGAGGATTTTGGAGGGTTGAGGATGAATGGTGAATGAAGCACAAGAGGATTTTGGAGGATTGAGGATGAATGCATTTTGAGGCAGGACTGTCTGACAATTTTGAAAAATTTAGGCGGAGTTGAAAAAATTTGGAGAATTTTGGAGGATTGAGGATGGTTGTAAGCAACAAGGGCCTAGGGGGTTAGGGTTTTTAATCCTTTTTAAAGGGGCTGTGACTCGAGCCTTACATGTACAGTGTGTACTTCGGTTCAAGGAACTGGAACAGTAAGCCTTGTTTCAGTTAAACGGTATATAAATGATGAATTTTTGTGAATGCAATGGTAAGAATAACTTCACGAGGTGACAGATGGAGTGTTCCATTACACAAGGTGAACACAAATGTGAAACATTCATTATTTGTTTTATACAACACCTGAATAAGTCCTTGTCATCTGATTGGTTGAATTGCCAAAAGTGTGACCATGCCATTGAACTTCCATTCACCGTGGAATGGAACTTCTATTTTGGAGATGTGGCCGCGCCTTGCAGTGGGATGAATAATTCAATGACAGGTGATCAAGGACCCACCAATCAGATGACGGGGATTAATTCAGGTGTTGTATACTACGTAATATACGTAAGCCTGTTAAATACAGAGAATTTTTGGGGATCTTGAAGAGGAAAGAAAACTTTACTGGGTATTAATCAAGCAGATGTTGACACTCAAATTTCAATGTCCAAAAGTTACATAAATATTGTTAGATAACTGTTCTCTGTTCAACACTTTTTTTTCACAGAGCATTTTCAGGCAACAATAACAATTCAGACACCAGTGTTTTGACACTGCATATTTTTTTTAACAGTAGACTTAATTCTTTGCTCAAGGTCAACCACCACCAATAACCCACCGCAAAGCCCTTGTTGACAAAAGGTTATCAAATAATAGAGTGCCTCCACAATGAGTCATTCAATGGGTAGTGTCGTTCTGTAATGTAAAACCTTTTTTCCGTCTGGAGTTTGAGATAATCTCAAATTTCATTTGAAACATAAGAACCATGTTTTGTATACATGTACATAACCCACTGCAAAGTCTTTGTTGACAAAAAGTTGTCAAATAATAGTGTGCTTTGACAATGAGTCATTCCGTGGGGTATCAGTTCTGTGAATAGAACGTCCAACCTTTTTCGGTCCCGAGTTTTAGATAATCTCAAATTTCATTTGAAACATAAGAACCATGTTTTGTTGCCTACAAAATGTGTGTTTCTTCTCACGTGTTGTGTTGTTGATGTCAACTGTACGTGACTGTGCACGGAAGATTGTTGCAGTGTTTGGCAAAATAATGAAAAAGATTTGCAAATCTGTATCACAGTCCATGTCCATAAATGTTCTGTCTGAAATTACAAATTTGTAATTAAATGTTTTTAGCAAGGTTCATTAATAGTATGTGTTTTTTTTTACCCAGATGGTGATTTGCTGATCATAGAGAGCTGGGTGAATTAAACCAGGAAGAGCAGCCAGAATGAACAAGAAGAGCGCAACCAAACAAACAGGTGTGTCAAAACAGTAAACTAAATAAGTACATGAACTTACATCACCCCGACGCAAAACTCCATCTTATGAAAAGTTTCATTGCGGTACCCACTGCTTTGTCAGATTCAAACCAGCCAGCTGACCCCAGCAAGCTCAGTGGTCGAATGGTAACGCATCTGCACTAAAAGCAGGAGGTCGTGGGTTCAAGTCCCACCAGAGTCATTTTTTTTTCAGAAAGAATGTAATATTCAGACCCCACTTCAGTGGTTGTGCACAAAGTCTATGGAGAGTCCAGAATATTTTGAAAGTATTTTGTCAAACAAAATTGGAAATATTTTTCAGTCCCAGATTCATGTCCTTCCAACATTTTTTGCAATGACTGACCTTTGGTCAGATGATAAATGAAGAAAAAAATGGCGACAGGATGCAACATTCTTTCCATTTTTTTCTCACAATCCTTGTGTTTATAAAAAAATATGTCGGTGAAGGACAAAACGCAATATTGAATTTATAACCTCGATGCAAATTCCATCTTATGAATACTCTCAACCCTAGGTTTAACCATGTTTGTTTCTTGCAACTGTAAAAAGTTGCCCCAGAAATCTTTGGAGATTTTGGATATAGTGAGAGGCCCAAAACGTAATAAAACGAACAAAAGGGAAAATGGGTGAATTTTCTGTGCTCTAGCTAAGAGAGAATAAGAATTTTTAAGAAATCCAACGTATTGAGTAATGCATGTACTGCTATGAGAAATTAAATGTTGGGTGTATTCCTTTGTGGGGTTGCCATTCTAAAATGTGTGATTATTTAGTTGGCAAATGAATCCATACTGCTCAATCACTCCGACTTCACCAAACTACATGTACATGTAGTATTAAACTACACATGGGCATTTCATAAATTTGGGGTCCAAAAGTGTGACCTTTTTTGTGTCCCTGTTACACCTTACATGTGGACCATAATTGGCCATACAAGTACATGTATTTATAATTAAAATTGACATCAAACTATTTTTTATTTAGAAGGAATGTGTCCTGAATTTTACAAAATCAGATGTAACAGAGACACACACACACAAAAATGGGACCTCAGTTTATAGAATGACCTACATAGGCTTTGCTAACTTAAAATAAATTTGGCGTTGATATGCCTATGATTTCCTGCAGGGACCGCAGAGGCAAACTTCCCCTACCGGTCAGTTTGGACCAATTCAAAGCGGGCAAGACAGTGCCACTGTTATTTAAAAATCACTTATGATTTTCCTTTCATTCATTTGTGTTCAGGAAAGAGATGGGTCCACCCACCGGCGTCGCTGACAAACGGCCATGTTGTCTACAACGTCAAGGTACAGTTACAATCGCTGTTTTTACCAGCCCTCTGTGCCCTGCCTGGCAAATTCAGCTACGCCCCTCACGGCAGTCAAAATCAATGAAGCAACTGTTTTGAACAGATAAGAATTCCCTTGTTAATTTGATGTAGCCTTCCTTTGACTGGAGGGGATTGACATGCCAGCTGTACCTACCAGTTACCTTCTTTTGTCTGTTGATGGAATTCGACTAGTCACTGTGTTAAATCTGAATGTGATCTGACTATTTTTTTCCCTGGCCTGTATACAAATGCATGGCAAGGAAAGTGGAAGAAATATTTGACTGTCTGTGACTGATCAAACAATGGGAGGCTTAATTAGTAAAACCAGTCCTTTGTTTTAAAGGAGCGCGATCGCGCAGGCGCTCCTACTGCGCTCCTCGACTGTCTCAAATGAACGCAAAAAAAAGCGCTCCTCAAAAATCCGATAGAGGGCTCATTAAGCAAGGGCAGTTTGAAAATAAGAAGTGATAAAAAGTGATAGAAAAAATTTGAAATAAATTTTACCTTTGCTTACACAAAAAGAAAGAAGTAATGCCACTTGGTAATAATGAACATATTATTATGCAAAAACTAAAAATAATGCAGCCCCTTGAAAAAATCCTGATAATCAAAACCAAATAAAACCAACGTTAACTTGTCGTTTCACTGGTGTTTATCCGTGGGTTTTAATGAGAGCGATTTGCACTCCTCAGAGATTTGGGGAGAGCGATTTATAGCTCTCCTGGATTTTCCTTAAATGAAGGACTGGTAAACAGCGTATTTCGTGGCATAGTGTTTGTCAATGTTTGCTGAATGCATTGGTGACCAGGAAATTGTCAGGGTCAGTTCATGCTGCATACTGAAAGGAATGCCAACTGATTTTCGCGTCAAGAAACATTCATGGCAAAATTCGCTGAAGTTGAAATGACTTGTTCAAATTTTGCAAAATTGCAAAGCGAAAACTTTTCATAACAACACAAATCCGTGTCTGCATTTGCTTTTGCGTAATGTATTATTTAACCTGTAAACTGCAAGTTATCGATCAAGAACAAAATTCAGTTTTGAAAATCATCACCAGAAATATTATTGAAAACCAATCTATAGATTCTGTCATTAGGTTTCCTATGTTTGCTAGTTTTCCTGTTTTGCGTTGTATGACAGACGGATATTGCTACAATTGGTAATTTGAGCATTTTTTTATTTCCTAGTAGAGCTAAATGGCAAATCCTTTCTATGTTAGCAAAACAGGATGTCTTGCTGGCCCCAATGAAAGTGATCCGATCATTGTGTTGTTCTTACAGGACTATCCTGGATGAAAAAAAATAATCAATTTACATTTTTTATTTACATTGTATGGCTTTGCCATTTGTCTCTGGACGTTTATATTTCCAACTCAGAGGTTTGTACACAAAATGCTTTTTCTTGTAGCATTTAAGTGCACTTTTGTACTTTTTTGTCATTAAAAAAGTTATGAAAATTCAACCCTGCTGGTAATTCAGAGGTTTTAAAACATTCAAAGAGTTTAGTTTATTAGGCCAAAAAAAAAAGAGTCTCCGACGCGCGTCGCCGTAGCCATGCGCGTCGGCAAAATGAAAAAGTTTTTTTTTCAATGAAAGATGATGTCTCAAAACCGCCAAACTCACTGGTTTGACTGGAATCCTACTGATGCACAATTTTAACGTGTTTTTAGATGGGGTTATGATCGAGAATAAGCTTTATGTGGCCTCTCTGGACTCCCATATATTTGCACTAAGTTTAGTCGGGCACCATTTGCAGTCATATGCCGACATTTGAAGCAAAAAAGTAAGGCAAAAAAAAAAAAAAGCCGCGTTGCCGCACCACTTTTTGGACAAGCTCCATACCAGAAACCGGAGACTTTTTTTTTTTGGCCTTAGTTGAGGTTCCTGGCTAAAATGCCCAGGATTAGAATCGCAGTTCTGATGGATATGGACTTCATGCACAAATATACCCTTCCTCCAGAAATCAATACATCGCGGCGTGGGATCCGAAAACAAAAGATCTTCAAATTTAAAATGTTAAAATCTTATCCGGCCAATATGCAGTATAACATTACAATAAGCAAAATGGAAAAAAGGGGGATTTTGAGGTGGGGCAGACGTATTAAATCACATGGAACATTATTTAAGGAATAAACAACATTTGCAAACATCCAGAAACAAAAACTACTAAATTATTAGGAAATACCTTACTGGACTGCTAGTGAATGACAGTCTACAACATCCTGTGAAATCATGGTACTTGGCGTGCTATAATTTTCTAAAAAAAGCTTATTTCTGTATCAATTTCCAACGCTGGTCGGCCGACCAGCGTTAGTTGGAACAAAACTGGCCTTTTCCAAACTCTGCCCCAATTTACCACATTTAGTTAGTCCGCATTTTGTTTGCAGTTGATTACACGCCCATGAATGGGTACCAGCCAGCTAGTCTGGTTCTCTGATCTTACAATTCCCAGTCTATAAATTGCTCTGTTTTTGACAGAGTTATGAGTAATTTTCCAAGAGAGGTCAAATTGACCATGGGACCAAGTTTTCAATTTTAGGGATTAGGACAAAGGTAACATACCGGTACTTGCCTCTGTGTGGATATTTGACTGGCCTACAAAAAAATGTCTTTAGCAAATAAGTACAATTCTAAACGCTTTCTTGCTATCACCTCATGCTAAAAATGTTTAGCATGTAAACATGTTTACAAACTGATAGCAAGAAAGTGTTTTGAATTGTGTTCACTCGCTACACACATTTTTTTTGTTGGCAAGGCAATTATCCACACAGAGTCAATTAGGCTACCTTTGTCCCAATGCCTAAATTGGAAAACTCGGTCCCGTGGTCAATTATGTTGAAATTATAGTTACCCCTTGGGACGAGGTTGCATCAATATGTTTTCTATTCTTTAAAGCTACAGTCCATCATTTGCAGCTATCCAAAAAGTAACTGACATAATAATTGTTGAATAGCATACATAGTTTAAAGATAGTAATGGTACTCCCTGTGAAATCTTTCTGGCAAGCTGTCATTTTGAAGAAATCAATGAAATAAGGCTTTCCCAACGATGAGTCTAAGACGCATCGTCGGAAATTTCTGTTAGTAGATTGGTTTTTTTTAATCGGCGAAGCTTTGACATGACGCATACAGGCGTGCGGTTGCTATTATTCGTCGGTTCAGTGCGCGACATCGTGTAGCTGCAATCGGCTCAGTGAGAACATGTCTAAGATGCTGAATTCAGGCCCAATTCAAAACATGACTCAGCAACTTTTGATTTGAAATCGAGATCCTTGAATATTGTTTGGCTCGGAATATACAGCATTCACTGAGCTGAAACTTCATCAGGTTAGTTGTTCAGCACTCTAATTTAGATTTTGAGCACTTTTGTTGCTTCAAACGAACAAAATGCACCAACGACAAATGATGGACGCTGCCTTTAAGAAATAACCCCAAAAAACCTTTTATTTCTTGCAGCTTCTCGGGAACACAGAAGTGGACCAACCAAAGGGTGCTGACGTAGTCCGGGAAGCTGTCCGCAAACTCAAGGTACATTTTTTCAAGCACATTTTCCCAAACGTTTGAACAACAATAATGCCGATTTTAATTTGTTCATTTATGGGTTTTCATAAAAGTAGAATAAAAGGTTATTTCAATAAAAAATATTGTACATGTGTTGTTGGTCATAAAAATCACGTTTTCATTTTATTTTACTTTTTGGCTTATTTGTTTTCTCTATTTTTTGTGGTTTCTGTTTCGTATTTTGTTTACTTATTTGGTGTTTATTTTGCTCATATTTTGGGGAGTTTAACCATTGATTTGCTTTATGTTTTATTTTTAAGTATATTTTTGTCACCTGTGGTTTTGCTGCTTTTTGGTCTTGTTGATCTTGGGTCTGGACTTTGTTGTTTGCGTCTATTAATACATCACTTGTCGCCTGCAAAGTGTTTATTGTTGGTTGCTTCAGTTTACGCGTTCCCAAGTGGAGCCTTGCAAATAATTCCGCATGAAGAATTTGTATGTATTTGGACCTCATGTTCCTAGCATGTGTCTTGAATTTCGTCGGGTAAATCTCTGGTGTGACATAATGTCTACGGGAAGGTACATGTACTTAACCAGTTTTTAAAGGGGCATTTGACAAGAAACACAATATAGGGGACCACTTTGTATCCGTCACGTTAGCAGTTTTTCCAATGGTTGTCATTTTTTGGTATAGTACCTGAAACCACCCAAAAAGTTTTTGAAATGTGAATGGACACATGGGCTTACATACTGTATAAAATTTGTTGAATCATTTCTTTCTTTCTTTCTTTTTTAAGTTTTAAAATCACCCTCAAATTTCCATAAAAAATGGACGGAAAACGTTACCTAAGTTTTCCGTCCACTATTTGATGGAAATGTTAGGATAATGTCAAAAAGCAATGTAAACAATAATCAACTCCAATTATCTTTAGCAAAAGGCTGCATGTCCATTCATGTGTTGAAATTCTTCTTTGGTGGTTTCAGGTATTTAACACAAAAAAATCACAACCATTGGAAAACTGCTAATGTGACGGGTAGCAAAGTGGCCCCCTTTGTTGTGTTTCTTGTCATTTTGCAAACTGCAGCCAACTAAATCTGGATGCGGCTTTAGTATAATGTCCTGAAATAAGCCAAGTGCCAGGACCATTGTAACGGTTTAATGATTGATTAATGTAGTCTTTGTGTTTATGAGCCTTACACACATTCACCATTTAAAAAAAGCACTCCAACATTACCATTAAATCATTTCCCACAATCTTAGCTTTGGAAGAAATTGATAACAAATGGGTTCTGTAGCCAAAGTAAGTGACGCAAACTGCACAAACAGCATCCACCAATTACCTTCGGGTGGAGAGAAGAAGTCATTGTAAAGTTCCTTGCTCAAGGACACAAGGGCCATCAAGGAGAGCAATTTCTTATCCAAGTGGGCATTCTGCAGATTTGTTTGGCAATTTGAGATAATTGTCTGTAGCCTCTTCAAGGAGAAAATAGTTGAGATCTTAGTCAATTACATTAAATTCCTCCTTTTTTTTGTAAAACCCAATTCATTTTTAGCAAGACACTCAAGGACTCTCTCGGATGCTTCAAGTAAGTCATATAGTGTCAGTGCCATAGCCGCAGTGTTAAAAGCAGAATGGGAAAAAAAAAATTGCACATAAATATTTTCCTTGGCACCTACATAATAAGCTGTATCTGTACATTTCTGTACTAAAATTTTCCAGAGTCCTGAACACTACTACGCCTTGAAGTAACCACGATTGGTTCATTGTTTCTTGTACATCTTGCACGTTTAACCAATTCCTTTGTATCCGTCCTGTAAACTACCAGTATTGTGATTTCCTTTCTGTTAACAAGATTGTTTTAGAGTTTGACGGGCGAGGATTCTTGTTTGAAACATATATACTGCATGATTGTGTGCTTTTGTTTGATGTAGGCCAGGGCAGTATAATTTGCATGTGTACCTCCTCGAGTGTATTTACTAACTACTTCAATCTGTAAACCAATTACTTGTTGCACATGTCATATAATTATTATTTTGTCATTCTGCTTACATTGTACATGTACATACTAAAAGTACTACGCGTGAATGTATATTCTTTTTATACTAAACTACCAACTCTGTACATTTTGTAAAAAAAAAAAATTTGACTGAGTATTTAATTATAATTATCAAAATTTTAGAACTACGTGACGATGTGTTGCACCATTGTGTTGTACTGTTGTCTCTTGTGCCCAGTATTTATTTTATGTTCAAGCAAGCTTGAATCCTTGTTCCTGATTGGTTGATCCAGGGCAACAAAGGTGTGATCTTATACCTAATATTAATACCATGGTCCATATCTGTATATATCACCCTATTCCAAGACGCGCACGCCATTCCCCTCTGTGCGCATGTCCATGTAATATGATAACCGCTGAAAAAATTGTGTGAGCGTGCATGTTCCATCCGAAATGTGCGTAAAGTTTGCTTGAAAATTTGAACAAAGAAATTGACTGGAGTGGGGCTCGAATCTGTGACCTCCGTATAACTGTTCCTATGCTCTACCAACTGAGCTATCCGGCCCTATGTTGGTGGTTCCCTAATTCGTCAACATCTTTAATCAAGGGGCGCTAGTCAGAAGCCATAAACTAGTATGCCATGCAGCCAGGCATTATTACCCAAAGTCACTTACAGACCTTGGTAATAGCAAACGGGATCACGCAGGGAGGATGTACATTGTATGTACGGCTTTTTTATTACAAAGTTTACAATGTGAATTATTACAAATTTTGGGGGAACAAAAAATGTTATAATTCACCTGTGGTCATTTGAAAGTTTGCTTGAAGATAAATTCATTCAGGGGTGTGAAATCTCAGCTTTGAAGCTGATTTCAGGTTTTTTTGTTTTGGATTTCAGCTTTTTTCCCTCACTTGCTGTGTACAAAAGTACATGTATAGGAGATTTCCAAAGTTACAGCTTTTTTACACCTTTTTCAGCTGTTTTCAGCTATTTTTATCAGTGGTCACTCGTTGTATGCGGGACATGGATGCACTACATTATGCTGTGTTCCAATCGCGCTTGTGGGATAACTAATAGCGTTTTATTACAAAAAAATAATCTAGTTTTTGTGTAGGTTGTGTGTTGTGTGTTTTCCAGGGATATTTCAGCACCTCTTATTTGCATTGATGATGTATTGATTGTACAGATGTGGATATAATGCCAACATTTCGAATAATTGTTGGTAGTTGGCACAAACTCTTTGAGTTTGCATTTATTACAACAGTGTGTCAAAGTCTAGTAAAACACTTGTCACTTTTCATTGAGGTATGAAGGTCAGTTTTTCAATATCCGGGAAAAAAACAACTTATTTACAGGATAAACTATCCACAAAGATAAGCATGACAAAAAGAACCCTTATCTACTGTCGTAAAACTGTATTTTACCCTCTTCCTTGTTATATTGTGTTGTGGTTGTACATAAAGTCTAGAAAGCTAACAGACACATTTTGTGGCACGGATTAATTTTTTTTTAAAGTTACAGGTTTACAAACACGTTTCAGTGTAATGTGACTAATGTCCTGATAGTTTGATTAAAAATAGACAATTCTAACAACTTTTTTTTTCCCAATCAAATTTTGGCAAATTGACTAATTCGTGGGACAATCATTTTCTGCGATGGCACCAGGCTTGTGCGAGTCGCGCTCAGTCGTGCATGCACTCCGGGCTCCTTCGGCCAAAAGTCTAACCAAAATGCACGTGCGCCTCATCTTTTACTAGTTTTAGATTGCGTGCGGCGTGCGCAGCACCACCGCAAATATTGGTCCTAGTTTTATTGAGCGAATTACACTATTGGATGTTGTTCATTTAATACTTGATTTCAAAGCAATTTGCATACCTACTTTTTTGGGTAATTTTTTTGGTAATTTTTGGTGCTTCTTTGGTAATTTTACCCATGTTGGGGAAATGGTGGAATTTAAAAAAAAAACAAAGTCCATTATCTGAATCAAAATTTTTAGGTGGGAAATTAAAGGTCATGCTCTTTTTCCGATTCTTCCTCTTTTTATAAATTATTTCAACTATAACATAAAGTTTAAAGTGATGTTAAACTTAATACTTTTAACCTACATGTACGTGCATGTTTACAATGTACTTTTAATAATGAAATAAATCATTGTCGTGTGTAGTCTGTTGCTTGTTGGTCGTGAAATTGTGAGTTTTCACTTTCACATTTTCTGTATCCTGTCATGTTCTTGGTTTTTCCAAGGTTTGGTGTGGGCTCTGTGCACAAGTACCCCCTCAATGGCAAGAAAGGGAGAGTTGCCGGAGACCACTGGGAGTGACATTTGAATGCATTGCCGACGATGCCTGATGGCACGAAATGCCACAAAATGCTATGGTTTTTTGCACATTCAGATAAAAATAATTGTCGTGTCAGTACAACAAGGTTGTGACTCAGATTTCTGTCATCTCAAATAATTCCAATTTATAAACTGTTGAGGCACATTGTAAAGGTTTCATTGATGTAAAACATACAGAATATGTTATATTCTGCATGTTTCATATATCAATTACAAATTTACATGGTGACACCAAAGTTTAAAATTGGTATTATTATTTGAGATGAGAGAAATCCGAGTTACAACCTTGTTGCACTGATGCAACGATGTCGTGCGTACTTAACACTATACGCAAGCAAACCAGTACGCGCATGCAGGGTGTTCCATCACTTGGCTCCTCTAAGTGGTCAAAAAGTGCCCTCTCTTGTTCATGCACGAAGCCCATACATGAAAGATCCTTGTAGATTACCTAATTGTCTGCTGTGATTTTAGTCCATGACAATTTTTTTGTGCGCAGTTGGGTTGCGCAAGGCACTTGACGCATAGCCTAGGTGCTTGCCATCTGCTTTGACACGTCTGCGTATTAAACAAAATATGATTTTTCCCCTGCAGTTTGCCAAGCAGCTGAAGCGAGCGGAGGGTGAGAAACCACCGAAGGTGGAGCTGACTATCTCTTCGATGGGTCTTACTCTCCAAGACAGGAACACCAAGGTACGCCACTCTTTGAACGTTCTCATTCTGCCAAGTGTTGGTATATCAGTCATACAGTCATTCAGTCATACATGTACCTCACTGTTCTCTGTCCCTTGGATGTGTTGGCTGCCTAAAGGGTAGTCAAGTTGGCGTAGCGGTACTTTCCTCGCCTTCCACTGACCCGGGTTCGAATCCCGCCTGGGCCAACAAGTGGATTGGGTTTTCAGTCCCTCCCTGATTCCGTGGGTTTTTCCCCGGAATATTCTTCTGGGGTTTTCCTCCCACCTCTGAAACTGTAATTTTTTCTCATTGTTTTCCTCTCTACATGGTTCTTCAGGCTTGCGAGTTACAGTGCCTGGGGTGTTTTTGAGGAATCCTTGGTTTCATTACCTTAAATAAATAATAAAGATAACATGGGCGTATTGATTGTCGTCCATTTTCTTTTCACACAATTTACTTTAATTTACTGTTGGTGCTATTTTTCATGTTTCCGCACCCCGAAAGATAGATTTTGTTTTTGGATTTTTTTTCTTTCTAGCAATTTAAAGTTGTTCATTTTTGAATGAGACATAGACCAAAAGAAACTAACCCACATTTGGTAATGGGCTGATCACTTTCTACAAATGTTGAACTATTTATTCCCTGACAGAAATTCTGTTCTTGCAGGGTAGTCTGGCTCCTGTACCCTTTTTGTATAATTTATAATGTTGGGACCGGGAACCAGTCTACTCGCACAGTGGATCTGTTTTTGCACAAAAGCAAACCAAAATATAAAGCCTTTTTTTTTTAAGGTTGCTGACTACTAAATTCGAATAAAAACAAAAATAGTTGCGTCAGATTAAATCACTCATGGGTCAGAATTTGAGAAAGAGAAAAAAAAATGAATTTGTTGAAGAGCACGGATATCTTAAAAAAAATGTGAGGACCAAAAACCTGTGTCTGAACCTCCTTGACCCCCCCCCCCCCCCCGTTTGAACTTTGAACCCCCCCACCTCCCCCCCACCTCCCCCGGATCTGCCTCTTCATTCTCAAGCCCCACCTTACTCATTCAAAAACCAATGGAGCTGTCTCTTTTCCATTTTGCAGGCAAGACTGCAAACAGTCCCCTTGCATCGCATCTCGTACTGCGCGGACGACAAGCAGGACAAGAGAATATGTGCCTTCATCTGCAAGCTGGACACGTCCAACAAGAACACCTGCTTTGTCATGGACAGTGAAAAGTGTGTAAGTACAGTCGGTGTTACCATGGTAACATTAAGTTGAAAGTCCACAGGAATGTCTTTGGGTTTCCTTTTTTTTATTGTTAAAAACTTGGGACTGGCTAGTGATGAATGCGACTACAAAACAGGAAATCTGCTAGCGTTATCAATGAATTGTCAATATAAACACCACAAACAAAAAATCCACACTCATTGGAGGGGTCAAAATTTTGAATCTGATTGTCTTGTGATGACATCATTTATATAGACCTTTGGGGAATTTTGTTAGCTACATTTTGATACTTTGTTTGCCACTAAAGACTAAAAGTTCATGATTGACAACGGTTTATGAAAAATGATGCAGTTGGAAAAGAAAGCAAATTTTAAGAAAGTGTTACCACACATGCCCGTAATTGGCCCTTATTGACTGCACGGTGCTCGAACAAAGCGCGGGTAATTCAATTTTGCATCAAGCTCCCATGCATCCATGCACTGGGCAATCGATATTCCCCTTTCGTTCGTTTTGGACAGGGTTGCGTTGTCACGCACCAGTATCGACCTCCGCACTCTTTAAATTTGCAACTTTTCTAACAGTATCATTTTCCCAAACCGTTGTCAATGTTGGACGATTAACAGTCTTTGGTACAAATCGGGGTATCAAAATGAAGCTAACAACATTGTCCGAAGGTCTATATAAATGACGTTATCATAAGAGGATCAGATTCAAACTTATGACCCCTCCAGTGGGTGTGGACTTTCTTTTTTTTTTGGTGGTGTTTGTTTCTCGAGAACTTCAATCACAATTCATTTAACAGTCTATCAGTCTCGAGACGAGAATTGTGAGGGCGTTCTTTTTCCTTGTTCATTCCCTGTTACTTGTGAGCCTACTTGTGGTTAGATTTGCGATTCGGCGCGCAATTGACTTGACTACATCTCTCTTTAATAGAGACCAAACTTTCCTTGTGTCAAGCATCATATTTTACCCTCGTTATCTCACAGTTGATTTACCCTTTGCTTTGTTTTTCAGGCAGAGGAGATAACACTCACAGTGGGCCAAGCCTTTGACTTGGCCTACCAGCATTTCATGCAGACGTCCGGTAAAAATATAGGCTCCCAGATACACGCCTTGCAGAAAAAGGTCAGACATTCCCCCTTGTATCCTCACAGAGTATAAGAAGCTTGGAGATTTCTAAATGCTGGACCTGAAAGCCAAGCTACTGTCTTCTGACTCATTGAGGCACTGACAGACCGACTGATTTACTGACCGACTGAGTGATGAGCCACTGAGTACAAATAATGTTTGAGACCCACAGGTCAAGTTGGAGTAGAAAAGCGAGGTCTTTTGTTTTTATCCCCCTGGCTGTAAGCCGGAGGGGGATATTGCGATCGCGTATTCCTTCTGTATGTCTGTGTGATCTGATACACCGTGCCCTCTGGAGACGTGCACACAATAGGGAACAAAAGATTGTATACGTCTCCAAAGGGCAATTTCTATAGATGAATACGTCACCACAAGATTTTCACGAAATAGATATATGGATTTTACTCAAAAACTAGGAATGTCCAAGGTGGGTTGATCTGTCGCAAATGGAAGAGTTTTAGAAAAGGGATATTAAGTCCGAATTTCAGCCAAGGAAATTAATTCTGGTGAAAATTAGAGCATTTTGAAACTTTCAAACTCGAAAACTTTACTACACGAGAACAAAGAAATGTCTCCACAAGAATACAAATTTCAGCATGTGTGCTGGCGTTTGTTTATGGTGTAAATCGAGGACACACGTGTGCAACATCATTGATGAATTGAGGACAGGAACCAAATCGAGGACTCCTCGGTTAGAAAATGTGTACAAAACCAATGAGAGCTGTTGCAAAAAAGTTAGGGTATAAACAAAGAAAAGGGAAGAGGAACATTAGAAAACCCTCGATGTATACCATAAATAAACGTGCTGGTACATGTATGTGTGTGTGTGTGTTCACTGTAAGTTCAGTCATCAATCTCAACCAAACTTGATATGTGGTTATTGTTCATGGTATTTGGTAAAGTGATTAGACTCAGGCAACAGGTCATGACCTCCAGGGTTACTCTACAGGCCTTGGTCCTAGGTAGCCCATGATGTATGTCACTTTGTTTCTCTAGTGTCTTGGAAGTTATTGTTTTGTACATGCCAGCGTGCCAGGGGGATCGGGCAAGTTTTACTTGCAGTACTTTTACATTTCAACATATTATTTATCTTCAAATTTGTTATTATCATTAACTGACTTTGGTTCACTTTTTTTCTGACCCTTTTACTTATATCTAACACCCATTTAGACTGACGTTGTAACGTTGCTTCAAACCAAATTATTTCAACGGTTTGGTTTACGTACGTGAAAAATTTACAATCTCAAGATGACCGTTGCAGTCCTTAAGATTGACGGAAGGGCCTAGTCAATGAGAAATTAATATGTAAGTTTGCCCGTCTGATACCAAAATCTATTTGGGTCAACTGAAGTCATTCCTAATGCTGTTTGGTTCAGCGTGATTCTGGAATGCCAGTCTGAAACACGTGTCAATTTGGATGATGTTATGTTTCTCGTTTGCGACAGGTGCGTGAATTGGAGACCGAGAACACCAAGCTGAGGATGCGGATCATTGAGCTGGAGGCGCGGCAAGGACAGCAGCCACCGCCTTACAGCGAGTCCAACACAGACTCACCATCAGCAGCAGGAGCCTCTCCTCAACCAACACTACTTAAGGTCAGTGTTGTAGTTGATTCTGTGACAATTCCTTACACGTCCATCACAAGTCCTCACAAATCCTAACAATTCCTCAAAAGTCCATCACAAGTCCTCTCAAGCCCTCACAAGTCCTCAAAAGTCCATCACAAGTCCTCTTAAGTCCTCACAAGTTATAGCAAGTCCATCAAATGTCCTCATATGTCCATCACAAGTCCTCACAAGTCCATCACAAGTCCTCATAAGTCCTCACAAGTCCTCACAAGTCCATCACAAGTCCTCTCAAGTCCTCACAAGTTATAGCAAGTCCATCAAATGTCCTCATATGTCCATCACAAGTCCTCACAACTCCATCACAAGTTCTCACAAGTCCTCACAAGTCCATCACAAGTCCTCACAAGTTCTCACAAGTCCTCACAAGTTCTCACAAGTCCTTACAAGTGCTCACAAGTCCTCACAAGTCATACAGTCCTCAGCCAACTCACAAGCTATTCAAATGAACTGTCACGAAAGCATTTCTTTTTTATGGTTCAGCTGTTACTTGTGACTGGACTTAACAAAAGGGCAAGTGATTTACTTGTGACTGGACTCGTAATGGACTTGTAATGGACTTGGACTGGACTGAACTACAACACTGCTCAACTATTAATAAGATGGAATTTCCATTAGTTTGATGTTAGTTCACTATTGGGTTTTGTTCTTCACCGACAAGTTTATAAACATTGTGCACTCAGTGTTGTCCGAGTGCTTGTTATGAAAAAGTCATTAGCTTACTCAGGTGGGACACGAACCCATGACCTCCTGCTTACTAGTGTGAAGGTCTTGCCACTCAACCGCCGACCTTGCCAGGGCTGGCTGGCTGGTTCGAATCTAATCTAGCAGCGGATACCGCAACAAAACTATTCACAAGGTGGAATATGTTAAATCAATTTGGGTTTGTGCCCTTCACCGACTTTTAATTTTTTTTAGAAACACTGTATACTCAACGTTGTCAGTGCTAACAAGAAAAATTTTGTCAGTGCAACAAGGTCGTATCTCCTAAAAATAGCATAAACACAAAATGCGAGTTTTAGAATGTCAAAAGGTTATATCTCGCTTAGAATAACCCGGATGTACACGCAGAGTTAATGGACGTCGAGATACGACCTTGTTACACGGAGCGTATTCGCGCGAGATACGACTTTGTTGCAGAATCGAGTTACGACCTTGTTGCACTGATGCGACAAAATATGCAATCTACTCTGATTGGACTTGAACCCACGACCTCCCACTAAGTTAAAAAAAAATGAAGTTACAGGACAACTACAAGCAAAGTAGCTATTCAGTCAATTGCAAGTCGATCACAAGTCAAATTCAAAGTCAATCTCACAGACAAGTAACAAGAATGGTCATTTGGAGACAAACAAACAGCAAGCAACGGCCCAAACAGTGACAAATGAATCACAAGCAACATTTCTAAGGAGAGCAGAGCAGGCAGAACTAGAAATAATTTTGTTACTTTCTTTGTTTTATACGTGTAATGGTATCATTAAGGAGACACGTATAAAACAAAGAAAGTAACAGTACCATTAAGGAGACACGGTATCGTAATTTCTTCGCACGATGGGAGACAGCGGTCGTTAGGGAGACATTTTCATGTCTCCCTAATGTCGCAGCCCCCCTTTAGATGCACAATTTTATTGTCGCAATTAAGTTATATTTGTTGCTCGTGGTCTAATTAGTAAACATACCGAAATTTGTGGAAAAAGGACAAGGGAATATTGGGTTAGGGCACAAGTCTATGGGGATGTCTCCCAAATGTCCAATCCAGGGTAATTATTATTATTTTGGTTTGTTTTATGTCTGACAGGATCTGATGGGTTCTCCCACCGCGCTGCAGCCACAGGCCAATCCCTTCCAGTTTCAAAACACACCCCCTCCGGCCGGGGCTGTTCCACCTTATGCCTCTCCTCCCACCGCTGCCGTCGCTTCGATGGGAGCCCAAGCTGCTTTTCCAACAGGCACTTCACCCATTGGTGGGGCGACCAATGGCGTCACTTCCAGTGAGACAGTCCAGAGTCCGGGTAATTATTTTTTGAAATATCGCCCCACCTCTGAACTGAAAAATGTACGCATGGTTTGGATTCTAAACGAAGTGACATTTTGAAACTTTCTGGGTTGTGCATTTACGAGTGGTACAGGAACCGGGTACCCTTTTGAAAAAAAATACGGGTACCAAAAATACCCGTTAAAGAAACCCAAGCTAAAACTTCAAATCTGGGAAGTTACTGTTCAGATTGTTCATAAAGGTCTGCATGATAATACTACCACATCGGTGCGGCAATACAGCTAGATAGAGTATAAACAGTGAGCTTTTTAGCTATGTGGTGAAAACTGCAACTTTCGCAAGCATCATAAAACGTGAAATTGGTTTTGATTTTCCATGTATCCTGTTTTTCATTTTGAAATCTTCCCACTGACATTCAAAACCTTTCTTTTTCGTTGACTGAGAAGTTACTAAGTAATTTGTAAAGTTGGTTACGGGTACTTGATTCCGTAATCTGAAACCGGTTCCTGACATTAACGGTCGGGTACTCAGGTGACCCGATTCCAATGCACAGCCCTTAAGCCCGGTTCATACTCTGCGCGAAAGCGAGAGCGAATTTGTGACGTCGTGGCAAGTATTCGCACTGCGAATTCGTAAAAGTTGAACATATTTCAACTCGGGCGAATTTCGCAGCGAATGTTTTATGACGTCAAATTCGCTTCGCATTCGCTTTCGCATGAAGTATGAACCGGGTTTAAGACTTTCTGCTTGATGTTTTGTTGGTTTGTTTGTGTTTTAATATTTTTAGTTTGTTAATCTGTCCCAGCAGTATTTGTTCGCTCAATACAGTGAAGGTCGACATTGTTGCAAGATATTTTTCTGTTTGAAAGTAGACAATCTGTTTTCAAAATTTTTGGGTTTATTTATGATCAGATTTTGTGACAAACTCTTGCACAAGTCGATGTGTCGATGACCTGTGAGCAATGTAAGCTGCTGAGACAGCAAAATGTTTTGACAACAAACTACTCTTTCATACTAACAGTTTGATTGTTTGATGGCAACTTTCCTTTCATTTGTAGAATTTAGCATTTGTTTATTAATTAATTAATGGCGACAATATACATTTTCCATTGTGGTGTACTCACTTTTACAAATGGTGGCAGGCAGTTCTAAGCATATGATTTTCTGCTAACAGAAACTTTGTCTCTTTTGCAATAAATTTCCATTTTCTAGTACTTGCATTTAAATCCTGATTCATCCTTTGCACAAATCTAGACTTGAAGCAATTTTCGTATATCAGGCATTGTTTTGTTTCTAACGTTTGATAATATTGTAAAAATATTGTTATTTATTGTCCTATTTGCTCTAAAATGTACTCAAAGAACCTGGCTCTACTTTCAACATGCATCACTGCAAAAAGCAAGAAAACTTTGTTGAAAATTCTCCAGTTTATTAGAATTATTTTGCTCCTGCACCGTCTACAAATACATTTCGTGATTACTTTGTTAACTCTTCTTTTGTATCTAAATTTCCAACCTTCTTTGCATGCAGTTTGTGAAAGGTAGGAATGCGGAATCTAACCCCAAAATTTGGAGATAAACCAGGCCACTAAGCCCCTGTACTGATGACGTCACACTTTGTTTACATGTGCACTTTCCTATGGAGCCAGTGGGGGCCCACGGTCCACTGAGCACCATTGGAAAGCACACACGTAAACAAAGTGTGACGTCATCAGTACAGAGGCTTATTTTTCTTGTGCCGAAATAGACCTGTTCCACTTCACAAAACTTTGGTTGTAATAAGCTAGTTCGGTATTCCAAAATAGTCTGGTGCACAGCAAGATTCGACGAATTTTTTGGGGGGATAACCGCTGTAGATAACAGGCATGCAACTTTTCTTCGGATCAGCTGATTTCCTCTTTTTTCATTTTACCATGTGTGCCATTGAAAATAGAAAAACACTGTACAAAGTCTTGGAAAAATTAGAATTTCCTCTTTTTTTGTGACTTCCCAGTTGCATGCCTGAGATAAATGCACACAAGGCTATGGGGGACGTGGTAACCAAATCTGCATTCTGTGCAATTTTTCGGGCAATGGAAAAGAGATGAAACTTGCATTCGCACATAAGTTTTGACACACAAGACACCTAAAAACACTTCGCTGTCCAAACGTTTTTTTGCAAAATTGTATACTTCAGAACACGATGATTTCTTCCATTTTGCTGGTACCTGCTATGCTTTTGCACACATACGATGACATTTTTATCCTGAAAGAAAAACCCGGCAAATCTTGATGTGGACATGCGCAGTTGGAATACCAAACTGGCTTAATTCTGGCTTTGTCCCTCTCCTAACTTTCAAACCACTGGATGTTTTTGTATTGTTTTGTTTTCTTTTGTTTTTGACTAACCCAAGGAATAGCACGAGATCGCCCTCCGTCTCTGGGCACCAGGGGCAGACCTCGCTCTTTCACTGTGCCTGCATGTATTGCTCTGACTCGTTAAGTATCAGCCTACGTCTGTTTTTGTGGTTTTATTTGTCTTGTGTCGTAATCTTAACCTGTTGACCCGTCTTCCAGTGTTGTGTTTGAGGTACTTGCGTCAACCACACAAGGTATGATATGTCGATAACATGTCAGCCAGTCCTAAGTCAAACCACAAGCTATTACAAGCTATTCAAATGAACTGTGATAAATTTTTATCATTTCTATTAATTAATTCTGGTAATGAAACCAAGGATTCCTCAAAAGCGCCGTAAGCACTGTAGCTCGCAAGCCGGAAGAAACCCCCAGAGAGAAGACAGTGAGAAGAAATGACAGTTTTAGAGGTGGGAGGAAAACCCCAGAACGATATTCTAGGGAAAAGTCATGGAATCAGGCAGGGACTGAAAAGCCAATCCACATATTGGCCCAGGCGGGATTCGAACCTGGGTCATAGGGGTGGAAGGTGCGGAAAGAACTGCTATCCAACCTGACTCCCCATGAAGCCATTCCTTTTTTTTATGGTCACCCCCTGTTATCTGTGACTGGACTTGTGAAATGACTTGTGATGTATTGTGATCCATCGGGAGTACCTCAACTACAACACGGCTGTATTCCTGATTCTGTTTTAACCCTAGCTCCCTTGGCATTTTGGGCAAGTAAGACCGCCCTCAGGTCAACCTTGCGACGACACAGAACAGTCGGCGACTGACCTTTTTTAATCAAGCTGCGCCTGAGCCAAGGGCGGATCCAGAATACAATTTTTTGGGGGGCCCAAAAAAATTTTGGTCCCCCCAAAAAGTGGGTCAAAAAAATTACGGCGTGGGGTTTGGGGCCCGCTTAAGGGCCCCGAAAAATTTTTGGATTCTAGATGCTCTGTGGTGCGATCTGAGGCAATTTCTGACCACTTTAACCAATGTTTTTTTGAGGAAAAGATGGTGGTGTACTCATTGCCTGCCTTTATTGTGATGTCACATAAAAAAAAAAAAAATTGGTTTCGTTTTGGGGGGGGGGGGGGCCATGGCCCCCTTTGGCCCCCCCCCCCCTGGATCCGCCCTTGGCCTGAGCTACGACCATCTGGTACATGTATATCAGTCGCCGATTTGTTTTTGCGACCTGAGTGAAACTGTGATGATATTAAGACGATCGGCATCAGGCGACGATAAAAAAAACCAACAGTCGTAAGAGTAGAAACATGTGTCAACTTCTGTGCCGCGACAGAACGTATTCCCGACATGCGGGAATCAATCGCAGTTGACCTGTGTGAAGTTACGACGTCATGCGCGGCTCTGGACCTTCTTGTTTCATTGTGCGGCAAAAGTGACATGAGCATGGTTGCGATTATTTTGTGTTGAGATGCTGCATGTTACCCGAGAATCCAATGATTTCTCAGTTTTGTGACCTGAGCATTACTTTTCTGCTTGATGCCGAAGGTTCTGTAGTCTGAGTATCACGCGTTGTCCAACAGAGCCTTCTCTCAGTATCCAACATCCGATATATCTAAGCTTGCTCATATTTCATGTGATCCCATGCGTCAGCCAATTGGATTCGACTTTTGAAGCTGTGACGTCATTTCAATCAGAAATGTGGACTAAGCTGGTGATCGGTCAATTTGGCTGCCAATCTTTTTGTAATACAACAATGGGTTACGGAAGACGCGATAGAAGGTGCCCGCTGAATGGTCAGAATCTCGAGGTCGAGAGACGTTTTTGTTTTTGCATAATTAATCGAGGAATCTGCGCTAACATCAAAGACGCTTGACTGCAAGAGGATATACTGTAGACTAACAGCGCAAGCAATTCGCAGGTCGACCTGAGGCCACCCCAAACTTTCCCGAATAAGCCAAAATGGAACGCTGTGCACTAAAAACAAATTCTTTTAACTTTAAAGTAGAAAAGTGGAAATGCAAAGTCTGTGTAGTAGGGTTCGGTCATAAATCCAGCACCAGAATCTACTGGTCAAGACTGAATCCATTGTGTAATCTTGAGACTTTGTTGCAAGACGTAATCTTCAAACTGAAAAAAAAAAATTAAATAAAAACAAACTTGGGTTTTGCCTTTCAATGACAGATTTTTTTATAAGCACTGTACCATGCTGTCTGAGAGCTGAAAGATACAAATTCATATCATCAAATAGTTCATGAAGAATCATCGTTATTTTTTTACAATGACAGCTGTACCAACAGGAACATCTGTGGCAAGTAGACCAAGACCACATGGCGTTGCATCGCCCAGCAGCCAAGGTAAGTTATAGACACGGGAAACATTTTCAATCTGATATATCCTAACATGCAAATTGTATGTGACCCCGCGCGCAAGCCAATCGGAGTTGACTTTACAAACTGTGACGTCGTTTCGATCAGAAATGTGGACTTAGCTGTTGATTGGTCGATTTGGATGCCATGTTTTTGTAATACAACAACAGGTTACCAAAGACCTGACATAGAAGGCGCTTACTGAATGGTCAGAATCTGGAGGTCAAGACGCAGACTTGTTTTGCATAATTAATCACCGAAATCTGCTCGCATGGCATAGATCCTTGCTATGCAAGGGGATAATTCCATAGACTACGTGAATACTACAATTGAAATTTGTACTTCAGCGTTCACGTTCAAACCAAGCATGAGCCAGGGGCCAAATTTCTAAGCACAGGAATCTGCTAAGCACGAAAAGTATTTGCTTAGCAGAAACAGCTTACCAGCCACAATCTCATGTGTTGCCTATTGCTTGATGCTGGTTCCCAGCTGACTTTTGTAAATTTGTTAAGCAATTGTTTCTGCCATGAAGCTTCATGCAATTGGGCCCTGCAGTTCTTAGACAAACTAATTGTTTCCTATTTCTGCTAGACTCGGCCCTGCCCAGTTTGGCCCCGCCCCCTACCACCGGCCGGTCTAGACGAGGAACAACAGGAGCCACTCCAGTTTCTAGACAAGGTAAGTGCCAAAAGACATCTTGAGATTGGTTGCGGTCTTTTTCATTTAAGACCTAAATTTTTTTTTTTTTTACAACCCAAAAAATTCCAGTCAGGTAGGCTTAAAAGTAACTATATTTTGTAACTTTTTTATGTTTGTGGTTCAGGCTCTTATACTTTGTTTACTTTGGGGTGCCTTTAAAAGTATTATATTTGATTCTTAAAAAAACAAAGTTTTCTAAAAAGTGTTACAAGAAGGTTTTTTTCTTGAAACTTGAATTAGTTTCTCTATCAAAGGCATGTAGAGTCATTTGCATTTATCCCAAATATAACCTACCGCATTATTATCAAAAAATATTAGTTGGATTGAAGGTTGTACTGGTAGTAAACACCCTGTGAAATGATTCCATCTGGCTTGCTGGCATTTAGAAGAAATGATTTCCAGTGACCATTCAATTGACTGATTTTTGGAAATTAACAGTGGTGTTGATGAAATTGTGTTTTGTGATCAAAAGGTTGTGCATGGTTTTTCACTGTTTTCTCGAAAACTGTAATATCTACTGAGCTGAAAGTTCAACAGGTTAGGTTGTCATATTCTTCTTTGGATTTTGAGTGGTGTTATTATTGGAAATGATAAAAATGCATGAAGAGCAAATGAATCTACAGTTAAGAAAAGCAGTAAACAGAGCAACAAATTTAGGAGGACAAAAACATTTCTTGTTTTCCCTTTGTGCCAGGTTCAAGTAATGGCAGTAACGACCCGTTTGGCCAGGCGCCATTCAGCCAGCCTCAACCCGTGGGCGCAGTCAGGAGTAATCCTTTCCAGACTGCTGCCTTCTCAGGATCATCACAAGACCTGGACCTCCAACACTTTCAGGAGTTACAGGTAAGGTCATTCACCCCTGACCCCTGACCCCATACAGGGCGAGTAAAACAAAACGCATCCCAAATGGCTGGGCCAATTTTTGAATGAAGTTTTGCCTGTAGCACTTTCAAATTCCAGGATATGAAAGCCCAGTCATTAAGCTTTCTTTTAGCACATTAATCATTCAGATCACTCATGTACTTTTAAAGTTACAGAATTTTGAACACAGACACCGGTTTTAAGTTCTGTCCAGGGATCACAAATAAAGTAAGTGTTCTTTCAGCAAAAAGAAAACAATTCTCACAGAGATGCATGTAAAATGTTTCCGTTTTGCTGAAATAAAAGAACACGTACCTTTTTTGTGATCCGTGCACAGAACTTTAAAACGGTGTTTGTGTTTAAAATGCCGTAACTTGAAAAGTATATGAGTGATTTGAATGATTCTTGTACTAAAAGAAAGCTCATTGAATGGGCTGTCTTATCCTAGATTGTGAAAGTGCTACAGGCAAAACTTCATTCAAAAATTGGTCCTGCCATTTGGGATGCATTTTTTTTACTCACCCTGCAGACTGGAGACCCGACCTCGTACGCATTTATGTGGTGTCTGAGGCCATGTCCGAATCATATGGCTACGGCTGAAAATATCACACACACATATGGAAGCCACTGGCTAGCGGCTACAGCCACATCCCATAGCCTCGTGTGTTATTGCTGGCCACAGCCAAGTGATTCAGACGCGGCTTACAATACCGTATAATGACAAAAATGTCAAAAAGTTTTGTCAGCTTACTAAAATAGTATATCTTGAAATTTAGTTTTGCATTGGGTTGAGCTAAGAAATAATCTGGAGCATTGTCCTTTAAAATCTTGTTGCTGAAATTGCCTCTGACTTTGAAACTAGTACATGAACACTGCACATACATGTATGGCTGGACACATGTTCTTGTTCCGTACTTGTGGGGACATACACTCGTCCGTACATGTACGTTTGTTTATGGTGTAAATCGAGGATTTTCTTTTGTTCCTCTTCCCTTTTCCTTTGTTTGTACTTAAACTTTTTGGCAACAGCTCTCATTGGTTTTGTACACTTTTTCTAATCGAGGTCGTCCTCGATTGGTTCCTGTCCTCGATTTACCGATGATGTTGCACGTGTGTGTCCTCGATTTACACCATAAACACACGCGTGGTATTTGTGGGGACCGAGAATGCTGTGGGGACAGCAGAAAGTCCCCATAACTCGGTCCTAATTTGCCTAACAATAAAAAACTTCCCCATAACGCAGTGTAGGCCTACCCATGGATCCCAACCGTTGACATATATTCTTGACCTCCCATCTGTTTTTGTATGGAGTGCCCTAAGGGACAAAACAGTGTTTATTGAATTTACATGTAATTTTTGTTATTTATTTCTGGCAACCAAGGATTCCTCAAATGCGGATTGGTTTCCATTGATAGTTTCTTGTTTTCTTGTTTTTAAAAATTTTGGAGTAATTTCTTTTGATACTTTTATTGATTTCACATGTCTGGATGAAATCCGTTTTTAATATTTTTTGACACCTAACAGGAAGGTTTTGCCAGCGGCCTGACCATCGGCAACGAAGACCTCTCACTGGCCGATCTGGACCCTCTGAAAAACCTAAGCACCTGTTGATCAACAGAGGGCGCCCTTCACACCTAGCAACAATCACAGGTGACCTGCCTTCAACATCTTTCTTTCATCATGTCACCAGTTGATGCATGCTTTTCGTTCATCCTGACACGAAACTCACCCTACAAGTGCAAAGGCAGCCATATTGTTTTGGTATTTTTGGGATGGGGGGGGGGGGGAAGGGTTAACTCTTTAGACCGTTTCACACTTATCGTCGTGTATACCTGTGTTAAAATCAAGGCAGTTCCTCTGTTAGCAGAGCTAGATGCGTTTAAAAAAAACACCAGTTTGTACACAGGTTGACCGTAACTTTTGGATTATCTACCTGGACAGAGCCTGTCATCCCAGGGGCTGATTTCAAGAAACTCGTCTTATCTTGCGTTGCATCTTAGGACTTAAGACGAGTCCCCGCTCTAAGATGGATCTTGGCTAAGACGCGTCCTAAGACCAATTTCACTCAACCCATCTTAAGCAAGACGCATCAAACTACCAATTTCATGGCTGTTTTATGTATGTTTTTACCGCTTGACGAAACAGTTGTTGAAAAGAAACTCGCAAAGCCAACTTCCCACGCGCGTGCAGACTCTCACCAGAATTATTACTTTACTCAATAATTTCACACGCGAGATGAGATAGTGGCATTCTTGCTCCCTGTTTCATCACAATATTTTAAAAAGTCAATGAGGTGTTGGCTCATAATTAAATTTTGTTAATAAGCTATTATTAAAACTACCCACGTATCAGAAATCTTTTCAAAACTGTTTTCTACAGCGGTTTTCTTCCTCGAAACTATAACTTTAGGCCGACACTCGTCTTCATTAACGGCAATGATTTCAAGACGATATACAAATTAACTGATGCATTAATGACATAAGACGACCCTCAGACCGACCTTAAGCTAAGACGAGTTCAGCCGCATTGCTAAGGAAGTTAAGACGTGTTGAATGCGTCTTTAAGTTTGGTGAAATCGATCCTAGGACGAGTCGCGAGTAAAGACGAGTTACCCTTCCTAAGACGCGTCTTATCGTTTCTTGAAATCAGACCCTTGTCCTGGCCAGGGTTAGATTTTACCCTAGTAAATCACTGGCCCTGGGTACGAGCTGTGTTTGGATTGTCGTTAGCGTGACAGGGAAACCTGAAATCTCGGCCTTTGATGCGGATCCAACAGCAATTTCCGATAATGTGAATGGGACTTTTGAGTTTGGGAATTAATCAATTTAAATTTGAGAGTTTGGTGTAATTCTTGTTAATCAACAATTTTGTATGGATAATATTGCAAAGTAATTTTGGGAAATTTGACTATTTTTTCTGAACTTTAAAAGTCTTTAATTTTGGATGACATTGAAGAATTGAATATAGTGCATTTGTACTAACTCATTCAGGAACATCAATTAACTCATTGTTATGTTACTTGTTGACTTGTCAGATAAACAAATGCCAAAAAAATGTATTCTCTATCATTTTTAAAGATGTCAGAATATAGCCTGCTCCCAGAAAACGAAGGTAAAGTTTGAAAAATTTGACAGAAAATAAATTTCACATAAACTTCTGGTTTGTCAAATTGAAATTAAATAAAAAAAAAATCATATTGGAAAAAGAATAATTCCCTTATGCATTTCAGTGCCTTTTGGGGAAACATTTCACAACTTTGCACTTTTCTAGTTTTCTAGAACTTAATACCAAAAACTTTTCAAACCGTTCTATTTTCAAAAAAATGTTGCCTTATTCTGGTATTTTTGCACGTCTCGCAAGGAAAATGGTAAACAACATCTCTGTTCTGCTATTGTCTAAGTTAAAATTAAAACTACTTGCATTATACTGTACATAGTTGTATTATGACAATAAATGTTGTTACTTGATTATTATTTTTTTCATTACTAATCAGTTTCATATAACTATTTAAATCACCTTTTATGGACAGCAATCTGTTATGCCAAGATGTTAATTTGCCTTTAAAGCCAACTCTAAAAACCAAATATTGTTTCTTCGACAAATACTAAGGCAAGATAACTTTGCGGTGACACCATGTGAATAAATCTCTTTTGTGAGTATCTGTGGTTCTGAAAAGAACCCGAGGGACTCAACGTTTCGAACAGTATTTTCCGCCCGTCGAGATTTATTCACATGGTGTCACCGCAAAGTTATCTTGTCTTAGTATCTTTCCACCATGCAAACCTTCAAATCTCATCTTTGACAAATAGAAAACCAAAAAAGAAAGAAAACAATGCCAAAAATGCATCTTGGTTCTTATCAGATTGCTGCTCCTTTCATCTTTTAATGCACTTGTTTACTCAGATGTTCATGTTGTTATCTATGCATGCGCCAAATCTAAGTATAAATTCTGTGACAAAGTTTTCATTGAGTGTGATCTTAGAAACATGTATATCTGAAATTGTATTTTTGTATTTTGTGTACGGGGGGGGGGGGGGGGGGGGGGGTAGTTTGAGTGTCATCAATGCAGCCTGCATGCTATCTCTGCAACAACATATGATATATGTGTGCAATGCAAATTTATGCGACCCCGCGCGCCAGCCGATCAGATTCGACTTTAGAAATTGTTAAGTCATTCCGTGAAGAAATGTGAATTAAGCTGTTGATTGGTCAATCTCCTGCCAACAAATTGCTGGGTTTCCTAAGACCTGATAGAAGGCGCCCGCTGATTGGTCAGAATCTGGAGCTCAGGACGTGATGTTTTTTTGCTTAATATTATCGCCAGGTCTGCATGCATATCATAGACGCTTGTGTGCAAGCGGATATTTCATAGACTGAGGGGGGGGGGGCGAGATATTTGAGAAAGATGACCTAGGTACATGTAAGTTTTTCCCGTGCTTATTTTTAAGAAAGTATATATTCCCATTTACAAGAAAGTAAGTTTTGTTTCTACGAAAAGTTTTAACATTTCGTTAATTCAACAACTGAATCCACATTGATGATGGTTCTCTGGTGAGTTACATTTTTCTTGAATTTAATCTCTGGTAAACATGATCTTGACATTTCAATTATGGAATTGATAAATAATTAATAAAATATTTTCTTTTTTTTCTTCACAACGTGCTATTAATACAAAATATATATCAGATGCAATACTGCTCACTACAAGTATTATTTTGGGAAGTTTTTTCTTCAACTTTCTATTTAAAGATTTTTGTAGACAAGTTCGTAGGCATCTTTGTACTGACTGGAGTCGAGGATACTAGTAAACAGACATTTTGAGCCGTCACAAATCTACATAAGATTTTCTTATCTAAAAAGGACAATCTTAAATCTGTGACGTACATTTTTGAGCGTAGTAGATTTAATTTCAGCTTCAAAACTGCTGACAAATTATTGATGGGGATGAATTTCAGTTGGATATCAGTTGAAAATTATTCAGAATATTTATGAGTATTTTTCTAATTTTGGTCGAACTTAAATGACGGCTTAAATTTTGTACTTTTTGTAGTGTAGTGTAAACTTTGTATTTGTAGATTTTTTTTTGTATTTTTATTATTTTTTGGCTTGTGTATGATGGTGTAAGGGACAGGTCCTGCCTGTCAATCCAACCTTACACATTGACCAATCAGATCACGACTTTTGGTCAGGTGACCATGGTGGCTTGATGAAACTCAGCCACAAGCAAAAAGGTGGGCAGGGCTTAGGCCAAATTCTGAAGGGTCCATAGTCTTGGAGTCTGATTGGTAAATTGTAAGCTTGTGGCAATATGTTTATCTTCAAGAACACCTGGTTGAATTCTGCCATGGATCACATCGGTAGTGGTGTGCATCTACGTGTAGTTTGGGAATCGGGTACCCTATTGAAGGTAAAACACAGGCACCTGGGTACCTGTAAAAGACGCACTAACCCCAATAGACCTTTATCATGCTGCCACCATTTTAGTCTTGTTCCCTGTATCCAATAACAGTACTGAATGATAATGATTTTGGTGCAAAAAGGAACCAGACTATTTTCCCTTCCAGCCTCGCTTTGGTTACGTTGATTTGAATGGGGGAAAATCAAGATGGCCGTAACATGATAATGGTCTATATTCAAATCCCGGAAGTTGTATGAAGGCTTTATAGCGTTACGGAGTAAAATGCAACTTTTGCAATGTGTGTCATCTGTCGCGCGTCAAAACACACAAATATACGTGAAATATGTTTTGGTTTTCCATGTAGCCTGGTTTTCATTTTGAAAATTCTCCACAAATGGCATTAAAAAAAAGCTTTCTTTCTCATTGTCTGAGACGAAACTAAGTAATTTGCAATGTTTACGGGTTCCTGATCCCATAATCTGGAACCAGTTCCTGACATCAATGGTCCGATACTCGGTTCGGATGCACATTCCTACACATCGGTTGTGACCTTGAACAAGGTACTTTACGCCAATTAGCCATAGGCAGTGTCCGAAACGGGCTTCCAGAGCTACGGCTACGTCTATTGTCAGCGCGTCCCCCAGTATTTTCAATGGGCGCAGACCTAGACCTAGCTCTAGACAGCTGATTCTGATGCAGCCATACTCGGGAGTATAACTTTCGAGTGCCTTTTAGGGCAGACCAGTCAAGTTTAAACATGGTTGGTCATTATAGGCAATTGTTACTTCATATATGTATAATCTAGAAAATAAAATGTAAGGAAGACATTGATTCAACTAAAAAATGAGATCATCTACTGAAAAATAAAATCATGCCATTGTTGCTGAAATGCCACACAACTGACATAAGGAAATACGCTCTTTCGTTTAAAAGAAGATAATCTGTCCCTGAAGTATCAACTCAGATAGAGTCTAATATTTTCCTCTGAAATGTATAACAGCTTTTTTTTCTTCATTTGAGCATTCATAGGAATTAGCACTAACAGCATTCTTTACTTTTACTATCATAATAAGGTTTTTCTAAGATTTTTTTTTTCAGCATCGAGACAACCTCTATTGACAATTGCTGTTTCTATATTGTACTCCCTCCGTTTATTTTCTTTATAAAGAAAAATCCTACCGCATTTTTTCAATCAATCATGGATGCAAAATGTGAGTAATTTGTAAAATACTATTTTTGTACTTTGGCTTAGTAATGACATCATATATTGTACCTACAAGTGTTAGTGTTAAAGAACAGTACTCTCTACTTGAAGAATGTTAACCATTAACTCCACATGTACTCCATTAGAAACTAGTCAGCATACAAGTGTTTAGTTTCCGAATACTCAGCCCAACAATAAAATATTCATTAACAAAATTCCAGTTTTTGAATTTTTTTTTTCAACTGTGTCTTGTTAGTTTCAGTGAAGGAGATAGAATAAAGATGCTGTTAACTTTTGACAAATCTGAGAAAGCTGCTGTGTCAGACCACATTCAGACCACATTTTGTGTTTGCTGCCCTCCATTGTTCAGAGAATCCTGTTATGGTGTTCACTTTTTAACTTTTTCATGGAGTTGTGATGAGTCCAAATTCATGTTTGTCGCCCTCTTGTGATTAACACTTCAAAGAGAAAAAAAAGGTTTCATGCAAACCTTTGTAAATATCAAACAGAAATATTGATACAGTGATTCATTCAAATTTCAATACAGTGATTTTACATACTAAATATCGTTCCTTTGATTTTAAGGAGCGTCAGGATTTTAAGAAAAAAAAAAGGGAGGGAGTTTGGTAAAAACTGTGTTAATAAAACAGTGAGAAATTAGTACATGTAGTTATCTCCGCCTTGAAAGATCCCATTGCGAAGAGAAGACAACGGTATAATTTCTAGATTATTGTCTTCTAGTCTTCAAGACAGTATTTCTTTATCTTTTAAATTTTCCTTGGTAGAAGTCAAGCACTGATGAAAACAGGTACAAGCCCTTGCAATAATTTAGATACCAACAGCTTAGGGTGAGGAAGAAAAAAAGAAAAGAAAAAAAATTTCTTGCCAGGTCTGCAACTTTTCCTCTCTCTGGGGTCAGAGGTGAGATATCGGCAGACCTCAACATCTGGGGGGGGGGGGGGAAAGCCAAATAAAAACACTGCGAGGGGAAAAAAAAAGGAAAATCCTTCAAAATTAATTGGAGTTGGCTCCAGGGCATAAAACGTCCAAGTAAGGAAAAAAAATTGCAAGACATTTTTTTTTTCTCCGTCTGACAGACGCTGGACAGCTGTTGGAGCTAAAAAACAGACCCCAACTGAGAGAATTTTTTTGGTGGTTAATGCTGAGGTGGCTTACGTTTCAGACGACCCTGCCCTGCAACATGTGGCATGTTGCTGAGATGTGGGCTTAGAGGGCCAGCTTAGTGATGGGATTTAAAGAAGGCGAGGTTTGGCAGGAGGAGTAAAAAATTACAGCAGTTTGGTGTCTTGACAAGTGGGGTGATTCTTAAAGAGCAAGTGGGGTGACCTACCTCTCAACTTCTCCTTTCCAAGACTAGACATTAATAGATTTAAAATAAAATGTAGGACTGGGTTTTTCCTAGTATAGTTGGACCTAGAGTTATGGTTAAGGATTGTTTATCCACAGTGACTCAGTCAATCTGTCTGTTGGGGAGGTGGGGAGTCAGTCAGTCAGCAGGTTGGTCAGTCAGTCAGTCAATCTGTCTGTCTGTCAGTCAATCAGTCTGTTAGTCAGTTAATCAGTCTGTCTGTTAGTTCGTCGGGGAGTCAGTCAGTCAGTCAGTCAGCTGGTCAGTCAGTTAGAGGACAATAGGCTGGCCTCTGTGTCCAGCTAAAATAAAAAAATTATGCAAAAAAATTCAACCTCACACAGGAAGTCTGGTACCCACTTCCTACTTGCCTCTACAATTTAATAAGTCCGAAACTCCGTACAATTTTAGTTCTAGGTCAACTTTTAATTATCAATCAATTATCAACTTTTTTATCAATCAATATCAATTTAATAGTTAGGGTCTGGATGCGAAT